TGTTGCCATATCCTTGTAGCTCCATGAAAGAGAAAGTAGTTGCTTCTTCTCAGCGTTTCATGCTGTTGGGACAAAAGACAAATGGAGCTGGAAACAGGTGAATTTTGAAATAAAATCTGTTAAAAGCGTCAAAAGATGGGTTGGACGGATGACCTAAAGAATTCCCCAAATCTATCTGCAGCAGAAGGTGTTTTTTTATTTCCTTCTCCTCACCCTTTAGCATTGCAGGCTAAGTATAGGTCTGTCACAAAAATACTAATGGAATACATCATGGTTTGTGGTCACAGAGTGATAAAATGTCACATAAAAGGCCACCAGCAGGAGGTGTGTGTGGCTGTGTGTGTGTGTGTGTGGTCAGTGAATAAAGGTGGAAGAATGAGCCACACATACATACAGCCTCTGTCCTTCATCACTGCTCTCTGACATCAGCTAACCGGGTTTTCCAAAATGCGTTTTCCCCTCTCTTCCAACATTCAGGAATGCCACCATCTTTTGGACAAATAAACAACCGTGCAGAGTTAATGGAAATGTGGGACTGCACGTCACACTCCCTCACAGACAGACCACAGAACCGCCTCGCTATACTAAAGCACACAGGGAATAGGTCTGGAAATGACTCTTTTTAAAGCTCATTTTATGATTATTTTTTAATGGGCAGTTTTGTTCTTTGGGTGAGTTTTTTTTATACATAAAATTACATGCTTTCAGGGCCTTCGGTGAAATAAACCCTCCCTCGAAATAATTACAGTTTTTTTTTTTTTTTTATTGAAAATGTTCCATAAGCGAAAAGCAACTATTGTATTTCTTTTAAGCAGAAATAGCTGTTTCACCTCTAAGAGGGATCCTATTACCAGCAAAGAAAAAAAAAAACAAATTAAAAAGAGAAATTACCACTGTCTGTGGTCAAAAATGAATAAAAAAGGCAAAAAAAAGCTTTCAGGCTGTTTCAAGCTTTTAAGGACATTTCAGTCCACGGCACCTTTTGATCAGTTTCTGACACATAGATATATCAAACCTCCATCCACCTCTTCACACCCACAAAATCACAAACTGAAAGCGTCGACCTAAGGAACAACTTCACCTCTCTGAGGGGAAATCATGCCATCTGCCACTAAACGACAGTCATTTTACCCCCACAGCTCATCCATCTGTGGACACGGGCACTCTGCTGGAGCCCAGAAAGCAGCAGGGGGGACAAGCCGGACATACCTACTAGGTGGGGACACGCAGAAAAATGGAGCAATACCAAATATTGATGATTTATAGAAGATGAAGTTAAAGAACCAATACGTAAAAAATGTACAGAAAAATTTACAAATTCTCATCAAACACTCAGATTGGAAACAAATATTTCCTATGAACAATCGGCCATCAAGACATCAAGACAAGTTTTTCCCTTCTAAAACCTGAAGGTACAGAGCCGACGACTTTTATGCATGAAGCTCTTATCTACTTCCTGGTTCCTGAGCCTACTGTAAGAGAATCGTAAAAGTTGCCAATAGAGAGTGAAGCATTTAGTGTTTTATGTTGGCAAACGCTGGCACCCTTCAATCTGAGCACGCACACATCAGCTGGGCTGCTGCTATCAACAACACCATTTACATAAAAATGACAGAGTTGAGCCTTTTTTTCAGTGCTTTGTCCTGTTTCTCTCCTAGACATAGCTATTTATAGACAGTTTAGTTTCATAATAATTTATTCATATCTCTCAACACATGTCACCTCAAGACACATCAGATCATACAGTCAGATTGGTTCAAACACACAGAGAAAAAGATCCACACGTTAGTAGGAGCGAATCTATAGGAGTATAAAAAGCAGGAGAGCAGATAAGGAGCAGGAACTCATGGTAGTGGTATATTGGGGGGGACTCGAGTTATTAAATCTGACTGCATAAAACATTCAAAATGTGAGTTGAGAGTAGTTTACATATGTGCATTTACACATGTATATTATGCATGTGCACTTCTAGCAGAATTATGACATAGGAGCTGTGGCATCAGTGAGGGAGAAAGAGGGAGAAAAGCTAACAAGATCATTTAAAAAAGAAAGACTTATAAAGTGTTGCCTCCAGTGTTTATCAAGGATCATAAGGGTTTATTAAAAATTTGATGTTTCAGAATAGAATGGCGACCTTTACTTTGTACTTTCAAACCTAGTTAAGAGATTTTTTGCAAATTTTTTAACTGATTTGTGAACATAGACTTTCAGGTTTAGGTGCGTTTGTCTTCATGGACAAAAAAAAACAGTAAATCACCAAAAAAAAAAAAAAAAAACAAAAAAAAAAAAAAAAAGGTGGCAATAAAAGAGAAACTGGAACAGAGCCAAGAAGCTGTGGACTGAATTATGTGCAGGGAGAGATAATCACCTGGTTATATGTTAATTTAATCTGTTAAATTTGTTGCTCTACATATAAATAATTATATATGTTTTTTTGTTATATTGAAAGAGTCACATAGACTTTACACAATGATTTTCATAAGTTTGCATAGACATCTGTAGGGGGTATTGCCTATCAGCTTTTTCTGAGGCTTTCATATTGTTTATATAAATATAATCGCCCAGCCTTTTCTATGTGTAATTTAATGCAGATGGTGAGTTAGGGTGGCAGCATCATGCTGAGGGGATTACGCTCTTCAGTCTGTGATTATGGCCTTGCAAACCTTAGAAAATGTTGACCTGATTGCATAATTCTCTGCACCATCATTAAAAAAGTTCTTTATTTCTCCACTTTAATCTCTAAAAATCGAAAGCTGTTTCTTTGAGACAAACAGAAACAAGCTTCATATTCTTGCTTCAATGAAGCATCTTAGAAAAGACTTGTATAAATCTGCCCATTTGGCTTGATTTGATCTTAATCCATAATTTCCAGGAAGGTAGGAGCAACTAACAATGCAGACACTGAGGAGAGTGAGATAAAGCCCTGTCTTTTCATCAGAAAACATGCTGCCATCCATTTCACATCAATTGAACCGTCATAATCATGCTTAGAACCAGCAGCGGCGTGAAACTGTCTGCTCCTCTGAGGCATGTGTGTCTGCTGCATTTCTGCAAGTGCATGAAGCTGTTTAAAAAAAAGGCAAAAACAAAAAATTGCCTCAGATTCTGAGGCAAAAAGTGATACGCCATGAGGGCGCCAAGATGCACAGAACCACAACAGCTTCTATTGCATCACTGGCGTACAACATGAGAGAGGGCAGCTGTTTCAGTCTGCTCAGCCTTTAATTCCTAAGATGACATCACATTGAAGAAATTTTTTACTAAGTAATCATGCATATTAAAAAAGCATTCGATCTGCGGTCCAAATCCCTTCTGTGAGCTGCGATATCTAACAGATAGCCCCAACATGTTCTTACACTCACATGAACGAGTGGGAAAAAAACATTTCTTGCACAACACATCTGGATCCTCTCCAGAAAACACACAGCTCCTCATCTTTCTTAATCCAACTGCAGCATGTAAAGGGTGTCAAAGGATCGTTTCAAACGGCTTTTGACTTAAAGAGGAAAAAAAGAGGGAGGAGAAAAAAAGTCAACTCTTGACTAATGCTTTAGAAGAAAAGATTACTGTGCTTTGTTTGTGCCTTTTTGTTTTGTTTTTGCGCAATATGGCGAGATTAAAGAAAACACAGTTGACTTCTACTTTGGATTGATCTGTGGGCATGTCTCCGCCTCAAGAACAAAGAGAGGAAAAACCACACTAAGCTCAACAAACCAAGAACAGTCCAATTAAATCCTCCTTGTAAAAAAAGAGGGGGGAAAATGAAAAAGAGCACATTTACATAAACAATAAATGAATTAAAAAACACTTCTTTTATTTGAAGTGGGATGTCATATGCATGGAAAACGATGCAAATGAAGAAGATCCATTGTTTGAAACACACTAAACGCTGCTGCTGAGTTTTAAACGTGCAAAACCACAAGAGATCATATAATTTCTCTCAAAAGTTCTAACACATTTTTATATTTACCCCCACTTTGTAACTTTAAAGCCCTTCAACAATGTATCATAAGGAATGTAGAGTTTGTTGTTGCTGTAACGATTTTCTAAATAGCTCCAACTCTTTAACACAAGATGGAAAGTCTGAGAAAAGGAAATTACTTAGTAAAGATTCTTAACTGAATTTACTTTTGAAATCGATTTACCAAAAGGGCTTCATATCGGCAGCATTATGCTGCCACCACCGTGTTTCATAGTTTGGATTGTGTCTTCAGGTCAGATGTGGGAAGAGTACTTTTTATTCAAGTAAATCTAACTGAGTAAATGTTAGTAGTTAGTACCCATCCCTGCTTCAGGGTGGGGTTCTAAAACGTATCCCTACATGATGGCAAAAGAATTTCTGTTTTTATCACGTGACTTTAGCCAGACGAGTTTGTTTTACTCCCCCCATAGCTGACGGCAAACCTGAACTTCTTCTGGCTTTCTTTTGGAAATATGTTCCTTTTAAAGGGAAGATTAGCCCTAGTAATATCTGTTCTGTTCCAGCTAAACTGTGGATTAGTTCAATCTTTGCAATAAAATGCATTATGAAAATAGATAAACCATATAAAGCACAAACAGAGACTAAGATGTTGATTTATCTTTTTTCAGTTCTTTTCTGTTCTTTTCTGTATTTGAACCGCTTTAACTAGGTTGAAACAATTGATCGGATTAATAATGATTAATCAATAAATGAAATAGTTGTGAACCTACTTAATAACAAAACAGTAAATAAAAAACACCTTTAGGTAAAAGATAAACCTACTTAGAGCTGTATTTATACTGAAATTGTAAAAATGTATATAGAAATTTTGCATTTAGGGTGAGAAATTTTTTAATAAGTAAATAAGCTCTATCCACAACTCCTTTTATAGTTTTCACCTGGTTTATTATTATTAATTGATTAATTGAAAAATAACTGCATGAAAAATAACTGACAAATAAATAGATTACCAAAAATAATTTTTAGTTGTAGCCCTAGCTATAATAACAACATAAATGGGAGAAAGAGGATTTTCTACCTGTGGGCTGAGCAGTGGGAAGTCTAACCGCTGAGACACTGAGAGGCAGCAGGAGGGAAAGCCAGAATGAGCACCACAGAGCCGTCATTCCTCTGGACGGAGAGGTCCGACGCAGATCCGCAAGGGCCGACTCCAACTCAGGCACCATCCTCCACCATCTGCATGCTGTCCGGGCGGCCAAAGATGCCGCAAAAAAGGCAAAGAGGGGTCCAACAACTCCTCTTCTCCGACCTTTAAAAAAAAAAAATAATGAAGTCAGAAAATAATTTGGAGAGAACAAGTTATGCAATCTTCTGAGAGTTCACTGGGTGAGAAATCAACCTGAACCAAAACGGAGTAACGCCGTGGGCTCTGTGAACATAATCGAATATTTTGACATGACATTCCGAACAGATTTAAAGATTAGGGTGGAAATCCCTCTCTTCTGTTTTGCTCAGAGACACTCTCACTACACCTGACTGCTAAGGTGAGTTAACAGAGACCCTGCTCAGAAGAAAGCTGTTTCCAAAATCTCAAACCTACTATAAAAGATTGTTAAATCATTTTTTAAACAAAATTATTGGAATAGAGCAGATCTGTGTACTTTCAGAGCCAAAGAAACTTTCACAAGGCTCACTTTCCATTCGCAGGGCGCACTGCATGGGAAATTCCTCTGCGTGGTCTGGCAGCTGATTGATGCAAATGTACTGCTCCTCCAGCAGGAATACCCAAGTTTAGAGCTGAGTGTGAGTTAAGGGTGAGTAGCAGGGGGGAGGCAGAGACACAGCAGGTACAGAGTGAGATGATGAAGAGCTCTGCCCGCTGTTTGCATAAGCTGGGAGAGGCTGGAATGTACTGAAAGCTCTGAGTGAAGTGCCCAAAAACAGCAGAGCAAAGCCCATGTAAGGTACATACACTTATACCACTGGTATCTCTAACCTTAGCCCATCTCCCCATACTTAGAATGCTTCAGGCTAGAGGTTCTCAGTTTGGTTTATCTCAAGCTAAGCATCTATCTAATTTAAGCTTCCAACTGGTGCTACAGAAATTCTTCAGTTTATGTAAAACAATCTGTTCTTATTCAACTTGCTTTAAAGGGACTGTGTAAAAAAATGGGATTTTTATGAGCAAAAAGAAAAAGAAACAAGTACTGCTTTAATAAATACATATCCTGCAAAATTACTAGACGAAAACTTAGAACTGGTAGTTTATAGATACATAAGGAGTTATGAACCCAGCCTAGTCCTCTTTGTCATGTGAGCGACAAGAAAAAAAGAAACGAAAAAGAAGTAATAGCCAGGAGAAAACGAGAGTCTACATCTGTGCAGCGGGGAAACAGTTTATACCTTGCACTCTGGACAGGTAAGTTAATTCAATTGATGTGTTTCTCCCTTGATACACGTTGATGTTCTCAAATTATGGCCTGACAGTGAGATGTTATACAGCATAATCAGTCGGTTATTTCATTTAGTTTCATTTAGTTTCCTTTACTGCACTTTTGAAGAGTTTCTGACAAGGAAAGGATCAAAGTGTTCCAAACATAGATTTTTTTTTCTTTTAGATTATAGTTTCAGTATTGACTCAGACGGGCTGAGCAATAATGCACACAAGAACCAAGTTCCATCTCTTATCAGAGATATTATTAATCCTTATGTTCCTGGTGGTTCCTAGAATTTCTTAAATTGAATTGGAGGCAGATCCTTTAGTTATCAGGCTTCTCTCCTGTGGAACCAACTATCAGTTTTAGTCAGTGAGGCAAAAACCCTGAGTACTTTCAAGACTATCCTTAAATTTTTCCTTTTTGATAAAGCTTATAGTCAGATGGGCTCTGGTAACTATTGCTTTAATCATGCTGCTATAGGCTTATACTGCCGGAGGCACCTTCTTAATTGTTACTTTCCTAGACGATCTACGGAGCTACTTTATTGTTACCTTTGCTAGCATAGAAACTATTTATGAATCAGTGTTTATATATTTCTCTTGTACTGTATCTCTGCTACTGTCTCCTTGAACTCCCCAGTCCGCCCCTGCAGATGGCCGCTCACACTGAGCCTGGTTCTGCTGGAGGTTTGTTCCTGTTAAAAGGCATTTTTTCTCTCTCCACTGTCAATGCATCAATGCTCGGTGTGAGGGTTTGCACAATCCAAGCAAATATCTACTGTCATCACATGCTCATGCAGGACAATTGAATCCTGCAAAGTCAATGACTCAATGCAATTATTTGGTTTTCCTTAGGTAGAAAACTTTTTACCAATCTGACTGGGTGATCTTATTCAATTCTCTAAGTAAACTGTCTTGAGATGTTTTGTGAATTGGTGCTATATAAATAAGCTGAATTCAATTGTGTTGGTCTTTTACATAAAAATATAACATTTTCAGTTATAGGGAAGTTAAAGGGGCTTAAATAATTTTGTAAGCTAGTGGAAATACTTTAGTATTTTTACAGAAAGCATTTCTGAGCATGTCCCATGCCAAAAAAACAGCAGAAAAATAAAATGTATAAAGCTTCACAAAGACTCATTTAAGCAAGGATTTTAGATGAGCACATACACAGGGGTGCTCTCTGCACCCAAACAGCTCAGGATAAGGTTGTGTTGTCTTTCCTCCTAACAGCAGCATTTTTAATTCTCTTTGGAGGACCCGTGACAGATTCCTTGCTCAGCATAAACTGTTAGACTTTGGTTGCACCTTATCAGCTTTCTGCACAGAAAAAAAACACTTGGACCACTTCACACAAACACACACTTGGTGTTAATCTAAAAACCGCACATTTCATGCTCTCAGCAGCCTTTCATATCCTCTACACTTACAGGAGGGAGCTCTCCTCCTCTCTAAGCCCATCCTCAGCGTCTTAAACACAGGGACGCCTATATGCTGTTGCAGTTTGTTCATCTAGTGCAATGACATCTGCATTCTCCAGGCGCTCATTAAAGGACAGCTTTGGCAAGCACAGAAACATATAGAATTAATAAGAAAAACAAAATCATTGTAACTCTTTTTTTTTCACATCATAGCTGACCTTGTCATAATTTCAGAGACGGCTGTTGTCAGATCTGTGATCTGTTTGGGCAAGTTGCCTTTCAGCCATGTGAGGAGAAACTGGGAGACGATAACAGCTCCGATTGACTAAACATGCAGGTAGTTTAGAGAAAGACAATGAAGAGAAGCCAAGTGTTGCAGTATGACAGATAGCATTACACTGAGACGGATGATCCTTCCCTGTAAGACGAGTGGGTCATTAAAGCCGTCTTTTGATAAAACAAGATCTTTTTTTTAGCAAACATTGCGGGATAAATAGAGAGACATCAATCACATGGGCAGAGAACTGGTTTTATGGGGTAAAATAACACCCAAAAGAAGAGTATGCATAGGTGTCTGGATTTGTAAATCTAAGTTAAAAGCGAAAACTGGTACATGCAACATCTGATTTTTCTTCTGTGAGACTATAAGTGTAAAAATTGTGAATACATGTTACAGCTCCTGAAAAATACAGGTTCAAATCACAAATTTACGCTAATGTTTTAGGTTTATGAATATAAACACTTCTGTTACAAGTAAGAATCACATATTTACACAAAAAAAATACATTTATAAAGGATAAATGAAAAATGAATGAGTATAAATCACAAACTTACGCCTACAAATTATTTTAATATGCAGGAATCGCAAATTTACAAGTAAGAATCATTAATTTAGGCGTATGAGTCCCAATTTTGAAGTAAAATTCAGTAAAGTATGAGTACAAATCAAAAAATTTCAAGTAGAAATCGCAAGTTTACAACAGCCAATCAATAATTTAGAAGAACAAGTCACATATTTCAAACTCTTATTCTTACAGATGAAGCCTCTGATGCCACATTAATGTATGAGCTGACAACAATGAACAAATTGAAATCTTCAACTTCTTCATATTTAATGAAGAAGATTCACAAATATAAAACGTTTTTTATGGAAAGTAACCTTCCCCTTATGCTTGTAGCTCAGGTCTTTTGTTTGCAGGGTAAATACTAGCAAAGATCTTTTTTTTTTAAATACTTTCTGCTCAGTATATTTGTAAACCAACAGTATTTATTCCTTTTTGTTAGTTTAATAAACATGTGATGACATGACACAAGAAATTGATTTAAAAAAGCTGTCTCTTATAAAGAACCTGCAGCACATGGAAAATGGAGAAAAAACTGGGAAGCAATACAATCTGATACTAAAGAAAATTGGAGACCTGTACTGGCTGCAAAAACAACCCGATCGGTGCATTCTCTAGTGATAAAGTCAAATAACCAATCCAATTATAATAAAACAACAACACAGATTGGATCTGAGGGAGGAGCTCAAAAGCTCAAAAGTGTTTTCATGTTAGTATTTTCTATAAAGCATGAAAAGAAAACAGAACCAAACCAAAGCACTAAATAAAACATGAAGATTAATCATGCAGAACTGTTTTCACACTGTTAAAGCTCAGGGGCAGAAGAAACGGGCTCTGAGCACAGTTCAATTGGGCATTACTCCACCCCTCTTGGGTGAGGATCAATCCCAGGCAGCTTCACTTCTCCAGAGGTAGAGCAGAATTTAATCATTAGAAGAGCGGTCGGCTTTGGGGAAAAGAAAAGGGGTGTCGAGGTATTTAAGGCAGCCAAACATAGAGAAACAGACTCAGCTTCTCTTCATCGGTCTTCCTTGTTTGTCACCTCACTTCCTCTCTAAGCCTCAACCAATTGGACATGTTCACATCAGAGCTGCAGCATCAATGAGAAGAAATATTGATCAGCTGGGAAGGAGGAGGAGCAGCAGAGACCTCCGACTGAGGAGGTTCAGCCTCACCTCCTTCACAGCTGAAAGTTACCCTCATCTGGAGGCACAGAAAACTGGAAAGAGCTTCAGTTATTAATTCATCTATTTGTCATATAACAACTAACTAAAACAATAATAATAATAAAAAAAAGGAAGGCAAAAGGATTGAAGTAATCATAAAAATCCACTATTATTGCAGCATTTCTGAGTGATCAAGCTTTTACCTTCAAGCTGAGTTTAACTGTCTGTCTGCTAACAAATCCTTCATGTCCTTAAAAACTGAAGATGGTACATTTATATCTGCTACAGGTTCTCCAAAATCCAAAGTCCAAATCTAAATCTAATAGAAAAATTGTGACAAGACTTCAAAAACATCAGAAAGTGATGCTTATAGAGTTCATCCAATCTAAACTGACTGAGCTTCAGCTGTTCTTCAAAGAAAGGAAGACAATGTAGATTCACTCCACACTTTTAAGATTCCTATATGTAAAAAAAAACTAAGTTGATCTTCCTTTTGCTTCACTTTTTTTGTGTTGGTATTTTAATCCTCCATAAAAATAAGTTAACAACTTAAGTTTTTGACTGTAATGTGATAAAAATATTAAAAAGTTCAAGAAAGCAGACAGCAAAATAAAACTCCTGAATTCTGTCACATCCCTTTGTGCGTGAAAATCAGAGTTTATGAAACAGTTCAGCATTGTCTCTTATGATTAAAAAAAGCTGAGGCCATCTAATTTGAAAATAAAAGGGAAAAAAATGGAGGCGCCATAACTACAAGCTAGATGATAGTCTTAAAGCAATTTCAGTCATAAAAAGAGGCAATTAGTTTCTCATTTGGAGGCCGAATGTGTCTGAGCAGACTGGCAGGCGGTGTTCCTCGGGTCAATACGTGCAATTCATTTACAGCATTAGTTAAACTATTATCCTCAGCACCTTCATTTTGCAGCTGCAGCATCCCTGACTCATACAGAGACCATGAGCCTGTTGCTTTTTGCTGTTAGATCAACTCTAAGTCTAATCAAAGCAAAAGAGGAACTCAATATAAAGAATATGACATTTTCTATCATGATTTCTATCATGATTTTAGTTTGTAAATATAAAGTTCACTAATGATTCTTACATGCACCTTTTCCTGAACAGAATTTGCATTCATTTTGAACTGACTCAAAGATTACCCAAACAATTAGGTTTATTTTTTCATACAGGTCGTATGAAGCATGAATATATGAACCTAAAAAAATCTATAAAAATTCATGTAACTTTTGTTTAAGAAACTTTCTGTGCTGCAGAAAGAATTTCAGTATGTATCCAGATTTAGATTGATCTATACTAAAGTCAGACTAGCAAGCGGAGCCTCCTAACCCTGAGGCCGTCATTACCAATAAATGGCATATCATAACTGTGGCAGCGAGAGGAAAGTTCACAGATTCACACATTTATCAGTTTCAGCATTGTATTCCCTTAAGACAAACACAGCCTCATATTGTTTTATTCTTCATGGGGTTACAAACCAGATGAACAGAACAGCATAACAGCGAGAGCTGAACACATTTTAGATGTGCAAAAACTTTAGTTGGTAGACCTTAGTTCAAGTTCTTTTTTGCTGTTTATTTGTGTAAATAAATATATATCTGCAAACTTGCAAAGAAATTATTACTGTTTTAGTGACACTTTAAGTCCTAATCACAACTAATGGTAATTTTTGTTTCTTATTAACATGGATGAAAAGCTTGATTCTGATCAAACAACCTGAGTGAAGGGATGCTCTGCATCCATGAAACTTTTCCCTGTGCATCGATTACTGCAGCTTTTAAACCAGTTCCTTGATTATAGGCTTAGGAACATTTAAGGAAGTTGTTTCAGCATTGAGAAGAAATGGGCTGATGTGTTGCATAGAGGATGAAAGTGTATTTTCCCTTGTTTTGAGGAGGCAAGTAAAACAATTTGCCACTGGAATAGACAAGCTACGCTTAAAATAAAAAAGAAAACATCTCAATTATCTTATTTTAGGTGCATAACATCTAATCCTCTTATTTTCAGGGTGAAAATGCTCATTCCACTTGCAAAATATATCTATAACTGCTCAAATTTAGGGAAGTTTTACTTATTTTTAGATCAGGTTTTGCTGTGCATCTTAAAACTATTACTTATGACTTTAAAAAAATCACAAATCACAATATCAATTTATCTCTTTTGCAGATTAAACTGCATGTTCTGCACCTGCTGATAAGAATCAACAGATGTATCTAAGATGAACCATATGAACAAAATATGAGACAAAAATAATCTATTAAAAAAATTTGAGTAAATATCCAATAAAATATAAAGTTTTTTTTTTGGGGGGGGGGGGGGGGGGGGGGGGCAGTTCATTCTAAAGTTTTTTTTTTGTTTGTTTGTTATTAAACAAACAAACAAAATCCTATAAATATATACAGTTTAAATAAGTGCAGATTATATTAAACTGCTTTTTTGTTCATGCTGCGGCCCCACGTTAAAAAACATAAAAATAAATAAAATACAGAAAATATTGCTCTGCTTTCTGGAGAAATTTGAGATTGGATCAAGGAGCATCGGAGAATCAGAGAGGGGAGTGGGGGGCCAGGGGCTCCGGAGAAGACGTCACCGCTGCAGAGAGGAGACAGCAGCCTCAGCCACCCAGTGGAGCATGCCACGCCGTTTTATTGCACTCTTTCTTAACATTATTGCTAGAGATAAGATGTAATTATTGTGAATGGAAAGGGGACTTATCTTTATTGCACATAAAGAACATAAAATATTTCCTCTGATTGGACTCCTAACGCGCGTAAAGTCCAACCACATTCCCATGTACCTCCATCCGTGGTTCAAGCGTTTTCCAGGATTTTTCTGGAATCAGTGAACTTTTAGTTATTTCCACGAACTGTAAAATAAGGCTTCTCTAAACTCCAATAAATCATCATGAAGCAGAATCTCGTGGATGGGTTTTGTGCGCATTTTAAAACCTACATCCAATTTCCATTCAGCTTAACAAAAAATCAAAAAGCCGCAGGAATCTTGATTAAAACCTTAAATGTATGTGTTGATATTGACGCGTAAAATGCGCTCGGAGTGAGAAAGGAGCCTGACGCTTCATTAGTGCGCTTCTAGTCATGTAAATTCAAGTTGGAATCGGAGTTGCGCAGGACAATTCATACTGTACATGACTGAGTCATAGGAGCACCGAAATGTCACAATCCTGGTACAAGGAAATGAAGAAGGGTTTTAACATACAAAAAATAAATAAGTACATAAATAAAAATAATAATAACCTTACCTTAGTGAATCAGTTTTGGCAGAAACTCTAGTCTTCAGGTTCCCAGATGTCCACCAAATTTTATCAGAATAAAACCTTTATTCACCAAAAACTTGTAAAAAAAATCCACCGATTTGTTGTCAGTTTCAGCCGCTCTGATTATAAACTATAAAAACCCAAACGCAGAGTCCTGCGCGCTCCTCGCGACTTTACAGAAACTGAGCTCGCGCTGCCACCACCAGCAGCTTGTCTTCGTCTACATCCAGCTCGTCTCCGCGCGCGGCGGCTCAAATGGTCCAAACGCTCCAAAAACACGACCAGCGTCCCCTGCACGCGTAAAGAAGTTGGAAACGGGAACGTGCGCACGAGGGCAACTTGGCTCCTCCGAACGCGGTTCCTCCGCTTCTAGTCTGAGAGGATGGCTCTCGCGCGCTTCTTTGCCACTGGACAGCCAACTCCGACTGGTGAGGCTCCCCTGACTGCTCCCCTGTCATGTAGTGGGAGTTGGTGAGGTGTTAAAAAGTCCTCTTGGTTCAGACGCGGGTGACACTTCCGTTGCATCCTTACAAAATAAATGATCGGCACATACAACCTACAGACTAGGCCTGTCCCAACTGTTTGCAGCATCAGTAAAGTTTTGGCTGATTCTGGAAAATAAATAAAACAACAGAAAATCTCGCACATTTCAGTTTTTCTTTTTCTTTTTTGTTTGTTGAGGAGTTGAATTTCATCCATTCCAATATTGCAGAAGAAAAAAATAAACCTTTTAGGGGCTACAACGGGTCGCAATTAATTCAAAGAGCAAACTTGCAGCAGGAGGACAAGCAGAAAAACAAAAACAAAAAACGGTTAAAGTAGGTTCACATTGGATTTGATACAAGCGTATTTGTGTGGACAAATACAGGAACATAATGCCAAAGATTTCTATTTTCTCCTTTTAGATCTATTATGATCTCATGCTGCACCTCAAAAACAAAAGCAGTTAAATATTCTTAATAATTTAGTCCTTTTTAAGTTAATTGACTCTTTATATTATTACATTCATACATGTCTACATAATGTAATCGTTGCAACAATGTATTTATTTCTAGTCTTGCCAGCGCTAACTTTTGTCACTTATTTAATATTCCCGAAAACAGTAAAAAAATAATTCTTAGAGAAACAACTATACTATCAATAATAATAGTCAAAGGATGATCATAATCAAAACAATTCAACACGATTGTATAGAAGTCCTCCAATAAATCCCTCTCGGTGCATGGTGGCTTTTATTTTGAAATTCATGTACGTGTAGATTGACATGAATGTTGCAAGTTTGACGCTTTTGGCGTGCGCCGGGGACGGGTCCGCTACACCTCTCACTTTCAGCAGGACAAACACTGGATGCAGGGCAGAACCGTAGCTTCTCTGGACCTCCTCACGGCTCCGCTGAAGGCATGTAGTGATGTAGAGGTGTCTCTTTTTGTCTCCTTCAGAAACCTCCCTGGACCAGAGCAGCAACCCTGATTATCCTGGTTCCAACCACGTTAATAAGAACAGCTTTTATCATAACTTGGAAATATTTGTATAATTAAAATACAAAACAAAACACAGTTTGGATTGGTGACAGTTGAAATTTCAAAAGATTAAATGTTGAAAAGCATTATGTGTGATTTAGTGTAAATCTGCAGTCATTGAAAAAAGCTGGGGGAAAAAATCCCTGATTAAACATCTTATTGTTCCACATTCAGCATAAATAGGGTGGCATGAAATGGCAAGAATTTGGAAATGGGATCATATGCATCACGAATAAAGAATGATAAATAAAGATGAAGTATTTTGATTTTTCAGTTTATTATAGAGCTGCAGAGCAGCCATTAGCCTAAATAACAGGCTAATGAACTTGTGCCATGGGCGTAATTTTGGGGGGGACATGTCCCCTGCACTTTTTCAAACATCCGTTTTTGTCCCCTAGACTTTTTATTGATTTTGATTAAATTTTGATTTTGATAGTTGTTGAAAAATAATGCAATGCTACAGTACACAGGCACTCGTGGAGCACTAGGACCAAATGGAAAACCACAGCTCTAGCTGAAGCCCGCTTCCTTGAGTTTAGACCACCCACAAGCTCCTGGTTGGCCCACCGTTTTTTCTTGTGTGAGTGGCTGTCACCACTGTCACTCAGGAGAAGCACACTTTAGAAACATCTGATGCGCCATTGAGTCTGTGATTGCATAGTCAAACACACTGAAGTTAGTTATATAAAAAAAATTTGCGTCCACCCCAACTTCTGAAATCAAAATTTCCTCTATGACTGGTGCACTGCCAGCTAGTGGCCGGAGGTTAAAGACGTATATAAAATAAGAATGACGTGGATGTTTGCCTACAAATACATTTTAACTTTTGAAAACTACTCAGTTAAATTTTTGATCAATACCAATATCGTCCGATGCATTATTGCAGTTTTGTGATTTTAATGAATACAGATCTACTGAAATATTGCAATATTTTTTTTTACATCCCTAATATATCAAATATATGTTTTTGATGAAGTTCATCATACATCATGTCAATGTTGGGGAAGTTGTTCCTCTCTCTTCTGCCAAATTACATTAGTTTGCCAAATTTTTGAATTTGTTCCTCTCTCTTTAGCCAAATAACGTTAGTTTGCCTAATCTTTGAATTTGTTCCTCTCTCTTTCGCCTAATTACGTTAGTTTGCCGAATTTTTGAATTTGTTCCTCTCTTTTTAGCCTAATAACGTTAGTTTGCCTAATCTTTGAATTTGTTCCTCTCTCTTTCGCCTAATTACGTTAGTTTGCCGAATTTTTGAATTTGTTCCTCTCTCTTTCGCCTAATTACATTAGTTTGTCGAATTTTTGAATTTGTTCCTCTCTTTTTAGCCTAATAACGTTAGTTTGCCTAATCTTTGAATTTGTTCCTCTCTCTTTCGCCTAATTACGTTAGTTTGCCTAATTTTTGAATTTGTTCCTCTCTCTTTCGCCTAATTACATTAGTTTGCCTAATTATTGAATTTGTTCCTCTCTCTTTCGCCTAATTACATTAGTTTGCCGAATTTTTGAATTTGTTCCTCTCTTTTTAGCCTAATTACGTTAGTTTGCCGAATTTTTGAATGTGTTCCTTTCTCTTTCGCCTAATTACATAAGTTCGCCGAAGTTTTGGTGCAATCACGCATGTCGTCTAAAGCCTTTCAGTCAGGACGAGGTCGGGGCTTTGATTTAGCCCTGAAATTCGGTTTATATTGGATTGTAATCAACATGATTTTATTATTTCCACATTGTGTTTAGTAATAGTAATTTTCATACATCCTTTATAAACAACCAAGTTGAACTTTGCTTTTTTGCATGAATCTATTAAGAAAATATTATTTTCCCCAGAATTCCGCTTGGCCTAAGATTTAGTCTAAATGGTTTTTAAACTAATTATACACAAAACTACATGTTGAAGGAACCAGTGAAATGTTTTGTCATGTTTATCCTAATTGGTAAATCAGTAAGAATAACATCACAGTCAATCTGACTGATCTTTTGTTGGGTCAAATTTCCATGTGTATGAAGCTTATACAGACATACCCAAAAATGTTAAACAGTTTAAGGATTGCCTTCTGGACTTCACCGTCCCAAAAGGAAACTAGCTGCTTTATTTATTTACTGCTGGTTGCTTCATCCAACAACATATCTTTCTTTTGTTTGTTTTGCTGCTGTCCTTACAAACGCTTTAAGCAATTACACAGAATTACCATTAACACCCATTTAATCTGCAGTGTACTGCAGCCGCTGGGCTAATCACTGCCATCAGGATAGATGTGATTGCACCCAACAAACCTTTAAACAACCCGCTAATTACTGTCATCTCATAAAACTGTGTTTTGAGTAAGCTGCTTTATGGCACCGTAAAGTAAAGCAGCCCACTGCTAAGTGACCATCAGGAGGCCCAGGAAGTGTGCCGCTGTCGCACAGGTTGTAGGACTGCCTCCTTCTACACGATTTATGGCAATCTGTCAACACATCATGATTTACCTGGAAAAAAGGATCGACTGCCTCTGCGTCATCTGGTTGACGTTGCTGTTTGGTGAATGTTACGATCAGATTTTCTCATATGGTCTGAATGTGGCAGTTTAGATATTAGTAGTAAAGCACTTAAAATAGACACATATGAGCAGATAGAAAGGTTTACAAGTATTAATTTAAATGAAACATATAGAGGATAACTTAAAACCGATTGGTCTGTGAAGTCAGTAATATTGGTTATTTTGATATGAATGGGTGATGATGTTGGATGGATATGTTAGTTATTAATTGAAGGAAACCAAACATAAATCCTGGGGGACAAGCATGATGAACATTGGGGAGATGTGAGCCCATAACACACACACATAAATCCATCCTCATCTTGCTGTATATAATGAGGGCTAGAGATTGGGTGATACAGGTTCTTCAAAGTCGATTTAATTCTGATTATTTCCACATCAGTCAAATGGATCCTCGATGTGTGCTGCCGATATGTTTAGGCCGATTTTTATACCTGATATTCCTTTTCTTCCTCCGTTTATATAATAAAACGGCAAAATGATAACAATTATTACACAATTCTTAATTTAAGCAAAAAACACCGCTATTAACAAATCAAGCAAAACATTGAAAATTGAAAGGAAATGAAGGGGAGGGACAATGCATGCACTCCAAATGATCTCATGGCATGGCGTCTTAATTCACTTATGAATAAACCAATACTGATATATAAAAAACACACTAATATCAGTGAAAAATATAGACCACTGTATTGGTGTATCTAGTGAGGACCAGGTGTTGATTCGTCCAGAAGGATCGTCCTACAAATTCAACTGCATCTCAACACAATCAGCTAGAAACCGTTTCACCAATCTGACTGTATGATTGAATTATCCTTTTAAATAGCTTTGAAAATCTAATGATGGTCAACAGGATCCTGATTTAAATAAAATCTATAAAGCCATCAATCTTCTCAGACTTATTCTGTCAGGGTCATGGTGGGGCCAGTATCTCCAGCAGTCCACGGGCGAGATGGGGGACACCCTGTACAGGTCGCCAGTCTGTCTCATGGCTATACAAAGTCACACAAAGATATACAAACATGCACACACACTCACGCCTAAGGGTCATTTAGAGATGCCAATTAACCTAACAGTCGTGTTTTTGGACTGTGGGAGGAACCCATAGTACCCAGAGAGAACCCATGCATGGACAGAGAGAACATGCAAACTCCATACAGAAAGAACCTAGGCCAAGAATCAAACTCAGAATCTTCTTACTGCAAGGAAACAGTGCTACCCACTGTTCCACCGTGCAGCTCCGTTTTTATAAACTTCTAGAGATAAATTATTAGCTTTACCCTTTGTGAAAACCATTAGATGTATATCAGTTCCATTTAATCACACTTATTTAAATCGAAGAACTAATATTCCTTTTTTTTACTACTTGGACAGAATAACACAAAAGACATAACAGTG